TGAGTAAATAACCAATCACATTGTTTTTTATTTAATACATATGTCTTACTTTTTTAGGAATTAGGATAGCGACAAAACTATGAAAATCAAATTTGTATATATATATATATATCCATGACCCCTCTGCAGATATAATGCATACATATAACTGTATATGTGCGCCTATATATATATATATATATCACTATCTTTTTATCATATAGTTTACATGTCATAAAGTTACACATTTATGAAAAAAATTCATAACATGTAATAAAAGCGTTTTAATCCCAAGTTAAATACATCAGAATATCTATTGCATATTTATAGAAAAAAAAAAATTACAAATATACAAAGTTTTCAACATATTATAAATTAAGAGAATATCTAAAAAATTACCAACGAATAAAACATTATAAATATCTCAAACCAAATCCAAATTAATTAATTCAAACACCTTAATAATTCACAACTTTCAAGTCTTTAATGTGTAATTATTTGTCGGAATCTGTAACGAAGAAAATATAAAGGTGAATTTATGTTCAATAAATAATTAAAAATCAAACTAATTGGATTAAGCGTGCTTTAAATAATAATAATAAATTATATGTAGACATAAACATATAAGAAGCATAGTTGAAAATAAATTCAAAAAAATTTCTGAAAATAATATGTACTAAAAAAAACATATCAAATTTTGAAAAAAAAAAAAACAAGTTAGATATGAAATAAATAACATATTTAATTCACTTTAAAAGATTATATATATATATATATTAGCATCAAGTCCTAAAAATATGTTCATGCTAAATTCAAATATTTACACTCATTGGCATTGAGTGAGTAAAATTCCTTACGTTTGATGTATGGTATTATTGAAATTTCGTTATTTGAATCCTTTGTATAATTACTTTGAAGGTTTTTAGTTTGCTATCTTCCTATTATTACATTAGATTTGCGTTTTTATTACCAAAAGCATGTCAACCTTTTTTTTTAATGTGAAATATGAGTATAGGAGCAACAAGTTCTTAGTCCTCATCAATGATCATATTATTTTATATAGTCATATATTGTGTATCAAATATAATCATATAATTTGGCTTTTCATCTAATATATATATTAATTATTGTTAAAGAAAAGCTAAATTAGCCCCTTAATTTTCGCAATTCCGAAATTGGGTATGAGGTCAATTGGCGTACTCCATATATTTTAAGAGCTCTAAAGGCTTTCTAGTTGCTCAATATTTTTGGCCAAAAACCCATGAGAGAAAAGAAAAGGGTTGGTAAATTATCAACTTTTAAACATACCCATTTGTCTTGAGCTACCAAAGATTTACAAATTTTTGTTTTTTATTAAGAAAAGAAGAAGAGGAGAGAGAGAGAGAGGGAGAGGGAGGGAAAAATGAATAGTTTGAAAGACAAGAGATGAAGAGGATAAAGATTATACAATTAGTGGGGGCAAAGAGGAAATAAGTTGTCACTTTCCAATCCATACAATAGTTAGAGAGAGAGAGAGAGAGAGAAGCTTCACATGGGCCTAGAGATAAATAAATAAATAAATAAATAGACAAAAGCCTTATTCACTGACATGTCCAAATCATAGTTTTCCTAAAATTTCTTTCTTTTTTATTTATTTATTTTTATATTTTTCAAGTAGTTTCCTAAACAATTCAATGTTAATGATCAAAGCATGTCCCTCCCCTCCCCCACCACACAATTACCCAAAATTTTCTCTTCCTCCTTCTCTTTGTTTACCCAAAAAAAAAAAAAAAAAAATTGAAAAAGAAAATCTTTTTAAGTGTGTAGACAAGGGAACACCCCTTTTGGAGCTATGCCTCCCACCACTTTGCTCTTGTGATTTCCTATTATTATTTCTTTCTTTCTTTCTTTAACAAAATATATGTATATATATATATGTAAAAATTAAAAAAAAAAAAAATTAATAGGGTAAAAGACAGAAAATGCAATTGAGACAAGTGTAGTCAAAGTTTGTTTGTTGTAGTGATGGTGTTTACAAGTTCATATTCTTAAAGATTTTAGTGAAACCTCCAAAAACAATGTGGCTGGCTACTCCTTTATCAAACTTTCAATTGGCCCAATTTTTTTTTGGATTTCTTTCTTCCTTTCATCAAGTTTTTGCTTTTTGGCCCAACCTAACTTCTCTATTCATGACAAGTACAGAAATATCTTCTCCAATTATTAGTTTTTCAATATTTTTAGCTTTTTTTTTTTTTTTTTTTTTTTCAATTTGAAAAAATCAAATATATATACCCACACCCTTGCATATTGGGGGGGTGGGGGGGGGGGGTTAATATAAAAGCCAAACCCTCTTCCATAATTTGAACACCCATCATGCTGTAAACATTATTGAGAAACTCTCGATGAAAAACAAAAAGAAAAAAGAAAAAGAAAAAGAAAATAATGATTTCAAATGATGGTACAATATTTAAGGTGTTAATTGAAGTTATTACAATTCTTACTCTTTTATTCTTGGTTTCCAATTAATACATTTTTGCACACTTATTATTATTATTTTTAATAAAAAAATAAAAACTCGAATTAGTTTGAGATTATTGGTTTTGTGGATCCCCCCATATATTCATTTCATCAATTACCAAAAGAAAGTCCAATCAAAAGGTTTTTAAATTTGTGTTAACATTATTGCCAACAATGAGGTGCCAGTTGACCTACTTTCACCACTACCATTTACATTTCACAATCTGCTTACTTAATTACTAATTTTTTTTATTTTTTATTTTTTACCATGATTCCCATTACTATAGATATGGGTAAAACTTTGTTAATTGATAAATTTAATTACACAATTTGTAAAAAAAAAAAAAAAATTAATAAAAGAATAACCATCAAATTTATATTCTTAATATGTAACAATAATAATCTTCATATTATTATTATTAAATTATTATAATTTAAAAATAATTGTTATTTATATATTCAATTAAAATTAAAAATTAAAAATTTATAATCACTTATATTGAATTACCATCAATACCTCATTAAACCATACTTAATATGCACTCACATCTATTATATTACTTTTGCCAAAATTAAGTATAAATATTCTTCTTAAATTCTTGATTTTTTTTTTTAGAAAAAAAAAATATTTCTCATAAAACGGGTGTTATTCACATATTATAATATGTGTGGACTTCTAACTTATTTGATCTAATGTGAACTCCAAATATATTTCTCAACTGATAAATTATAAGGGTACATTTGATGAATTAAATGAATAAAGTATTTATTTTTCAAACATTTTTTTTTTCCATAGAAGAGCCATAAAGGTAATCAGAATATTATACGATCTATTGAATTTATCTTTTCTTTTTTTTCTATATGCATCTTGTGTTGAACAAATTCTAAAAATTCTCAATTAATTAAATTATATATATATTAATTTATTTTACATATGAAATTATTATTATTTATTTTTTAACAAATATATTAATTCAAAAACTTTGTATGACACTCTAACTTTACAATTACTTCATATTATTTATACTTAAAAGAATTGTTAATTCTTATGTTGATTATCTAGTTAATTTAGCTCATGAATGTTTCATTGTCCCTTAACATCAACTTTCTTTATGACATTTGGACAAGTTACAAGAATAGTAGTCTTACTAAAGTTTGACACGTACATTTTTATTAAGAATGATAATTATTTACATAATCTATTTAGATTTATAGTTAAAATATAATCTTGCTGTAATGCACAGAACTTCAATTATTAATAGATTCATAAAATTTTAATATAAACAAATTGAATTTGTTTTATTTAAACATGTTTAGACACATTTTATTAGTCAAATATGTTAGATGGATTACATTTTTATTATGAATTGTTAACATATTTAATTCATCAAATGTACATACATAATCATATGTATAAACATGTGTGCACATGTATTATATACAAAATAAATAATGATATACACACTAAGTTAATTTTAGTTTTGGATTGATTTAATTCATTTGATATGTTATAGATAAATAGATTAATTAGATTTAAAAAAAATAATTTGTATGTGAGTTGAGAAATAATTTATTTTAAACTACACATTTTTTTTTTTGAGACAAACAACAAAATACAACTAATCATGAGTAAAAAAGTGAGAACCAAGAAGGAAAAAATCTTAAGAGTTACAAATTCTCATCCGCCCCTTTAGCTAGAGAATGAATCGACCAATTACAATTTCTAAAAAAACTAATAAAAGAAAACAATGGTTTAAGATGTAGAAGAGATTATTATGTTACTAAAAAACTAATATACATATTATATATTAAGTAAGATGTATTTTAGAGAGTGGGTGGCTCCATTTAGTATCCTTGTGGTTAAAAGAAATTGAAACACAGATTGTTTAAGTTGTGGGGTGTGATGGATGGATGGATGGTAAGTCAAAGCTTGGTATTGGTTGGTTTCGTTTGCTTGGTTATAAAAGCCTGCTGAATGGACCTCCACTCAGCCCTTCAAATCAACTCATTTATTTACCCCACTGTAAAAAAACCAACTTGAGCAAACACATGATTTTCTCCGTTTCACTCCTCCTCCTTTTATACTTTTTTGCAGACCACACTACCAATTATTTCACATATGGGGATGCCCCATTTCATTTCCAACTTCCGAGTTTCCATTTTTAAAATCCCATCGTATGTCCCTGTTAGAATACATAATTGGGTTATGTATTTATGTTCTTGTAATGTGATAATCGGTGGTGCAAATCTCTTCTTTCTTTGGGGGTGATGTGTAATTTTGGTTTGTTTGTTTCATTGGGTGCCCTGTGTAAAAAAGAATGAAGGGGCGCTCACTGAACTTGTAAATTAAGGTAATGAAAGACAGTACAGTATACCGCTATAGAGGGTGACAGTTACCCAGTAGACAGGGAGAAAGGGAGGGAGGGGGGGGGGGGGGGTTAAAAATGGGTTGCAGGGAGAAAATAAATTATAAAACAAAAAGCTAAAAAAAATAGAGAATGGGAAAAAAAAAATAGAGAGAAAGAGATAGGGACACGAGAGAGAGAGAGAGAGAGAGAGAGAGAGAGAGAGAGAGAGCACTTTATTACCTTTTTTATGATGCACGCATCCATGGCAGAACAGAGAAGGGTACAGAATTCTGCTACGACACAAGGGTAGAAGAAGAACAAGAAGAAGAAGAACAAGGGAAAGAGAAAGATAAAGATAAAGAGAAGAGAAGAAAGTAAGTCCGGAGAGGTAAGATGGAGTTGGAATGGAGTTTTCTGGGCAGAGGATTAGAGTAGATAACATGGAAGAGCTTAAGAGAGGGAGAACAAGGGTGGTTGAAAGGAGCTAGTTTCCTTTTTCTGGTCTCTGTTGAAATGGGTCTCTCTTCTCTTTGAGCAAGAGAGAGACTGGGTCATTCATGGCATGCAAAGGGCGACGTTGGGTCTAAAATCATCAGGTAACGAAGAAGGAAACCCAACTCCGCCTCTTATTTTCCAAATCTGAGAAATACCCAGTTGTGCTTACACATCCCCGGCCTCTACACTGTGTCTGAATCTGATCTTTTCTTTTTAAGAAGGCAAATTTGCGTTCTCCCTCTCTCACTCTTCTTTTGGCAGGGATGCCCTTTCAGTTGCAGGGTACTAAGGGGGCACTTGAACTAGCTGGTTTGGCTTCGATTTGTGCCCAAGATAACTGGAAAGCAAAGCTCCACCACCATCAACAAGAAGTCAATAGCTTTTCAAGCAGCAACAACACCGAACCAACCTCTGTTCTTCATATGAGAAGAAGCCCGAGTCCACCCACATCGGCTTCCACTCTCTCCTCCTCCTTCAACGGTGCATCCGCCGCCGGAAATTCCGCTGACAACACCATCGCTACTCCTACAACGGCCGCCGCCTCCCACATCGACAAGAAAGAAGAATGGGCAAACGAGCTGCAACCCATCCCCAGCGGCCTAGAAATCGTCGCCGGGACTGAAAGATGCGGCCTCGGAATGGAAGACTGGGAGACCATGTGGCCGGAATCCGCCGCATCCCCGAGCCAAGAACATTCCCTTCTTAGATGGATCGCCGGAGATATCGACGACGGCTCTTTTGGGCTAAAACAGCTTCTGCAGAGTGGGAGTACTAATAATGGTAACAACAATACTTGTCTGGATTTTGACGGCAATGCTGGGTTGGGGATTGTTGATCAAGGCCCTGGGTTGGAGCCAATCAATAATCTGATTGCGAACGCCGGACCTAGTTTGGGTGCTTTTCCTGGTTCTGGCTTTAACGGGAATGGGAAGATTGGTTCAATTACAACTCCGCAGCCACCGCCAGCAGCAACAAGCGGAGCTTCTTCGGGTGTGGGTGTTAATGCCAATCACAAGGTTGGTAGTGCTACCGCCGCCGCAAACTTTAATATACAAAGCCCGGTTTTCAATTCTCCGGCGAACAATCTTGGTCTGCCAGTTTCTTTGCCTCCTTGTTTGATTTATCAGTCCCAGCAACAGCAGTTTGTTGAAGCTCCGGAGGAAAAGCCACAGATTCTCAACCCCCAGGTGTTGATGAGTCAACACCATCAGCAGACTCAAAATCCAAACTTTATCTTGCCATTCTCTTATGGGCAGCAAGAACAGCACCTCCTTCATCCCCAACTCAAGCGCCATAACTCTGGTGGGTTAGACAGCTCTTCTCATCAGATCCCCAAGCTCCCATTCTCTGATCCTGGGCACGAGTTGTTGTTAAGAAAGCAGCAGCAGCAGCATGTGGGTATGGGGATGGGTCTGGGGTTTTCTCCTCAAGGTATGCAGTTTTTTCCACAGCATGTTCATCAGCAGAAGCCATTGATGGTGGCAAAGCAGAAGATGTTGGGGCCTGGGGAGGAAATGACTCAAAATCAACACCACCACCAGTTGCAGCAGCAGCAACATGCTTTGCTCGACCAGCTCTATAAGGCAGCAGAGCTGGTAGGGACTGGGAATTTCTCACACGCGCAAGGGATATTGGCGCGGCTCAATCACCAGCTGTCTCCTGTAGGTAAGCCCCTCCAAAGGGCTGCTTTCTACTTCAAGGAGGCTCTGCAATTGCTCCTCCTCATGAACAACCCAGTCACCTCCCCTCCGCCCAGGAGCCCCACCCCATTTGATGTTATCTTCAAAATGGGTGCTTACAAAGTCTTCTCTGATGTATCTCCGCTTATTCAGTTTGTCAATTTTACTTGCAATCAGGCTCTCCTTGAAGCACTTGAAGATGCTGATCGAATTCACATTGTTGATTTTGATATTGGCTTTGGTGCTCAATGGGCTTCCTTTATGCAGGAGCTTCCAATAAGGAGTAGAGGCTCTCCCTTATTGAGAATCACTGCCTTTGCTTCTCCTTCAACGCACCATCCAGTTGAGCTTGCTCTTATGCGTGATAATCTAACTCAATTTGCTAACGAGATTGGTGTCAGCTTTGAGCTTGAAGTGATTAACATCGATTCTTTAGAACAAACGTCGTACTCTCTGCCCATTTTCCGGTCAAATGAGAGTGAAGCATTTGCTGTGAATTTTCCCATTTGGTCTTCTTCCAATCAACCCTCCGCATTACCTTCCCTCCTCCGCTTTGTGAAGCAGCTTTCACCAAAGATTTTGGTGTCTTTGGATCGAGGGTGTGATAGGAATGACCTCCCTTTCCCACAGCACATTATTCACGCCCTTCATTCGTATATAAGCCTATTTGAGTCATTGGATGCTTTGAATGTTACTTCTGATGCTGTGAACAAGATTGAGAGGTTCCTTCTCCAGCCCAGGATTGAAAATACTGTGCTGGGCCGTCTTCGTGCCCCTGAAAAAATGCCTGTTTGGAAGACCTTGTTTGCCTCGGCTGGCTTCACTCCAGTAACATTCAGTAACTTTGCCGAAACTCAGGCAGAATGTGTGGTGAAGAGAAGTCAAGTTAGGGGGTTTCATATAGAGAAGCGTCATGCCTCACTTGCGCTATGTTGGCAGCGAAGGGAGCTGATCTCAGCTTCAGCCTGGAGATGCTGAGAGCCCACAATTTGACAAGCAGGGAGGTTGGTTTTTGACAAGCAACTCACAACCAATTGAGAGAGGTTCGAAACTGCTCTGCTTTGATGTCATGTCAATAAATATTGTAGTGTGTTACTGTTGATGGCACCTCTTTTACTACTGAATCCTTGTGCATCTTCTCACTTGTGAGTCTCCGCTGCTTGTTTATCTAGTCTAGATGAGTAATATTGCCAGGAGAAGAACACATCTAACTGGAAAGTCTACTAGAGTCTTATTTGTTTTGGACATGGATATGGTTATTATGATATTTTGATGTTCTTTTTAATCGTGAGGGCATTTTCTTCTGGTTAAGCTCATGGTCTATTTGTTGTATACTTGACAACAAATGTGAAGTCAAAATAGAAATGGAACTCGCCAGCACTTTAATTCGTTTTGTGGGTTATTTGGATGGAATTCACATTGTATGCTGATCCTAGTGATATACGGATACTAACTCGTATAGCATTCTCATGTTAGATCTGGTTCCATGTGTTGGTGGCAGCTCCTTTTTTTTATCCAGCAACCAATGTGCAATTCATCAAGTTTGAAAGATCACCCAGTTAGCCTAGCTGTAGCCTCTAATTCTTCATGTAGGAGACTTGGGATTCCTTGCCTTGATAAATTCAAGTCTACTTAGCTTCTCAATTGTTACCATGAGTTTTTCGTTGTGCTAAGCATTGTTTGTATAAGAGGATGCTAAGAGATGAGAGTTTGCAAGAGAAGCAAGGAATCGAGGAAGAAAAGATATGTTCGAGTTGGATTGCCTTTATCAACTTGACTAGAATATACCATACTGGTTTGGTGTTCACATATTATAGGATAACAACAAACGACAATATCTTTTGCGAAACTGTTGTCTTATCAAACAAATGCTACGTCCTATGAATCTTTCTTCTTGACCCTTAACTACCTAGAAGATAGAATAGTTTAGCTCCTCAGTTTTATGATTGCTTGGTTGAATTAGCATCCGGAAGCTGACATCTGTTTAATAATTTTTGAAGGTGCCAACTTTTCTGTTCTCCCATAATACTCACATTTTACTTAAAAGCAAATATAATTAGAAAGTGTACGGGTGATATCCCCTTGATACCTGTTAATAATATACTCTACACTTTTTTTTTGCACCAAAGAAAAAAAAAAATGGAAAGTGAAATTTGGAGTCAACTTGGAGAGATTATGCATTAATGTTAGTTGAGATTGATAGCATAGATTTTTTGTACTTCTTCCCTCTATCTAGGTGCTCCATCGGAATGGTTCTTGCTAACAACTTGAGACCATCTTGATTGAGAACTTGAGTGGTATAACCTTGTTTCATTAAAATCACAATATTGACTTGACCACATGCTGTGATGAAGATTTTTCGATATGAAACTAGTCCTTGTTTGCTCAGTACTCATTGTGGACTTGCCCAAGTCTTATGCTCCTCTAGTAAAAGCTTTTAAATAGGATGTTACTTGATATGGTTCTGTTAAACTGGTTTCAGCATACCCACACTGTCATAGGGTTGGGTTAACTTTTCCTCATCTCGGATAACTGGTCAGTAGCTTATAGCTTTTTGCAGCTTCCAAACTCGGACAGATACATGCACACACGTGCTGAAATATCCATGTAATTCTGCTGTTTGGGTGAGCAATTTGCTCATTTGAGGGCTGTTTTTGGACTCATGGAGCAAAGGTGAGCTTCAATCCAGTGAATCAAACAGGGTTGGTGGCATTTTTGCATTTTCTTTCTTGTACTGTAAGTTCTGTTAATGTTCTTGTTGCATATCAGACAATGGCATGCAACCCAAAATGGGATTAAAAAAAATACATGAAGGTGCATGATGACTAATGAGGAGGCAGAATTTGGACGTTACATGGAAACTGAATTATTTTCTGCTTGTTTAGGAAATGATTTTTTTTTTTTTTTGGGTATTATTTTATTAATTTATATGATGAAAATGAAGTTTCTCTTGATGACTGGTTGAATGCAAATGAATCTAGAATCTGACCATTCCAATGCTACTCTGTATCATCTGCAAATGCTGTTTTGTGCTGGAGAATGTTATGCAGTGTGTTGTCAAATACAAAGTAAATCAATAGTGGATGATTCTTGGTTGCTAAATACCCTGAATGAAAATCAGAGACGGTTGTGAATTTTGCTCTGTTCTTGCAAACAGGGTTTACATATGGAATCAAACTGTACTTGTCGTAGTCATAATTTTAGTATATGTATATATATATATATATATGTATATGGGTATATACGTTTACCATACATGCATATCTTTATCTCAGCCTTTGTTAATATTAATTTTAACAGAAAATTTATCAACTTTTTTTTTATTAAAAGCTTTGGCAATGAGTTATATACTCTGCAAGTTTAATAATAATACTAATAATGAGTTAATTTTGGATAAGTCAGGGGAGAGGAAGCATTGCTTGCTCCAGAGAAATAATCAAAAACTTGCAAGCAACACTTAGCATGAAGATCAAGTGCACAGCTAAATCAACTTTTGATTTAATTAAACCCTTGATTAAGCTGACTTTAACTCATAATTAAGCAAAAATTATGAAGAAAAACTTGTCGTGTGCTGCAACCTTGGAAGACAACAAACGCCATAAGCCACCTAACAAACACATTACTCGATGTATATATATGAATTACTTTCCAAAGTCTCTTTAGCGATGAATCAATCATTAGACCTACAATAACATGGCTGTGTTGAAATTTGTCTCCACAAAATAATAATAATAATAATTAATTTTCTTTTCTCCTTTTGCATGCATTACACCAAACACGTAACGAGTCATTCTCTTCTCTCTTCTGTTTTTTTAATACACACATTACGTTGTATTTCTTTTAATTATTATTTTAATCCTTAGAGGTTTATAAAATTATCATGTAAAAACAAATGTTTGTATTATATAAGTACATTGAATTTGCCATTCTTTTATTTTATTTTTTTTGAATTCTTTGATTAGCTATTGGACATCTAGTAATCAACTCACATGGGTCATGTTTGATTGAGTTATATTTGTATTATTTAATTTAATTTAATTTGTATATTAATACATACATACTTGTGATTAGGTTATGTGAGAGCAAAGATAGTGTACATGTCAATGAATGAAATTATTTATATGTGAGAGACATATAAAGAAAACTCCTTCCCAAGTATAAAATTCACGAGAGAACATGCCTGATTACCAACAGCGACAAAGATTAAATATCACAGCTTGTGTGTTTATAAATATAATAATAATTTTTTTTTTTTTTTTTTTTATAAAAGAAAAAAAAAAAACACACAAAAGCGTCGGTTTCGTTGAACATAAAAATCCTTACAAACAACCTCGATTATTGGGAGAGGTTCAGTTCTTAATTGCTTAAAATATGTGTGTATTATTTTTGAGTTAAAAGGTAGATTATAAATCAATAATCCACCAACCACTTTTTTTTTATTATTTTTTTTAATTATTATTATAATCAATAAACAAATAACTCTCAGGCTGTTTAATTTACTCCCATGGATTTTCTAAAGATCACTACACCTGAAATAAATTATAGAATTTAGTGGCCTATTTAGGATTTGCTAAATAAATTTTAAAAGTAAATCAAATCTATTCATAATAATAATAATAATAATAATAATATTTTCAGTAATAATTAAAAGTAATTGAATGAAACACTATTAAAAACTTTGTTTTTTTTTTTTAAAAAAAAAAGAATACAAATGGAGATAGGATGCAATATAGTTGATTTCTTAAAAGATTTTCTTATTTGAACCAAATCAAGTTCTGTGTAACAGAGAAGAGAAGTTAATACCTCTCTATATCTTTCATCTTCTTATTTATACACTGTGTATTTAGTAATTTGTGTCTCAATATGAATAATTAGTGTAATGGAATTGAATTTCCTAAAATCTATAACCTCTGTTAAGAAGAACCATCTTATTTGAGTTTGAATCAATATATTATAATGACTTACCATCTCACCCGAGGATACTTTATACAACATGAAAGCTATTGTCTTTCCTAAAAAAAAAAAAAAAAAAAAATAAGGGAAAAAAAGAAAACCTCTATTACAATGTATTAGATGCAAAATCCTACAACTTTAATTCGTTTGATCCAAACATCACCATTATAAAAAGTAAATTGATAGAGAAGATATAATTACTAACAATAAGGATATAATTAGTTTTGATTTCTGGGAATTGATTAAGAAGTTCTTTAGAAAAACATTGCTTAAGTAGTCCAACATAAAATTAAGGTTGACCTCTTCTATTTATACATATATATATATATATATGCATAATTCTTTTACGTCTCAAAACGAAAAAAAAAAAAAAAAAGGTTTGACCTACATATATATATATATATATATATATATATATATATATATGCACAAACAAATTGTTTCAGGCTGGCAAAGGAGTTGACTCGTGCTAGAGAAATATTCATGCATCCCGCTACATAGTTGACAATTAAACATTTTCCCTACGTCCAATAATGAAGGTAGGACCGGTCCGTCCATGAAAACTGATGTTTAAGTCTAACAGATGATGCGAGTTATTCTCTTTTGTTTGAATGTATATTATATATATACATATATTACACGCTATACAAATATATATTTACGATATAAATATCATTATCTAATGAAACAACGTAAAAGGAAAAAAAAAAAGAAAAAAAAGACAAATCATTGAAAGAGAAATTTTCGAGCATTCAAAGATTTCCAGTCTCTTGTTAGAAAGAATTCCTGAAACCCAGTTCGTCACCTTGCAAGCTTTTGTAATTCCTTCATAACAATAGAATTATATATATATATATCATATTGAAATAATTTTCTATATACATTATGCATTAAGTGCCAAACTAATTGGATCAATTCTCAAAGTTTTGACCGTAATCTTCTAAAAATTTAATCGATATAAATTAATAACACATTTAATTGTTTAAATGAGAATCAAATATCCAATCCATTCGTGGCCTCTTCAAGTGGGTCCAAATTGATAGTAAAAACACAAGCAGAAAAAACAGATCGGACAATATATCCTTGATCAGATTAAGTAATGATTAATATAATTATATAGCTTCCAGAATCATAATCTAGTATTAGCAAAACTAATTAATATGTTTTTTTTTTTTTTATATATATAATAAACTCCATAATATACGAGAAAGAGTGAGAGATTTTGTGGGGGGAAAGGAGTTAAATTAGCAGTACAGGTCTTTTTGCGAGATCTAAATTATACATCTTTCTCGAGAAAGTATATCAATAAAAGTAGCTTTTTCATGCATACACAAGTGGTGAAAGCGCTTTTGTCATCGAGAAGCCTCCCCAGGAGTGAGGAATCGATATTTTAGCTTTAATTTATATTTGTATTTATATAGATCATATACATGTAC